TTGTTACCCAACGAGGATTACCGATTAAGATACGAAAGTAAGGTTCATATATAAACCTAACAAAACAAGTTATAACTTGTTCTGTGCAGTATTAACCGCTTTCACGGTAAAAGTCTCTCGCCTACATGGCGAGAAGTACAGTTAGTTTTTGCTCTGTTTGCAGATAGACAAAAAACTGAATAATTGAAGAGGTGGATGTACAGTCGTGAGCATACCATCGAAGGAATTCGGGGCCCTCGATTGACCTGTGACCACTACCAGTCCCNTAGGTGTGATGGCTGCCCAATATCTCGGAGCGTATCATACGGGATACTAAGGTTTGGTCAACCGAAACGGTGGTGCTAGGGTTTGACAAAGGTAGACAATACCATCCTTTATTGTCTCCCGGGCGCTATCAACCGTATATGCACCTCGGGGGTACCACGACAGGTTTGACGTTGCGACTCTTGCCTCCTCGAATGACATCCGCTAGATGTTTGGTCCGCCATGTGGCCTCTATTCCAGCAGATTTCCAGCATGACATGATCACTGCTACCCAATGGTGGTAGGCAATGAATCGCCTAAACGTCGGACTGCCGCGGGGAGACTACCAAGTCAAGCAGGGAGGCGTGATCTACCTGTGTCCTGGTGGGTTGCGTGACGTGTTGATGGAACGATATCTCTTGCAAGGTGTACATCAGCTCGCGTGCGAATTGATCTTATCTCGCTTGGCACTGTTGGTTGGTGCAATCGATGCTTGGGGAATTCAAGTCCCCCATGATGAGACAGTGGCCGCTATTCGCCCATTGGCGCATTCCTGTGAAGAGTTCGAGGACATTTGTTCCGGGAGACCGGTAGATAATACCAATGGACTCGTAGCCTCTAGCCATGAGTTTTGTTCGACACCGTAGGCTCACGCCGTATCCCGCAGGGTCCCTATGACAGCCTAGCTGGACTGTGGGTATATCTGCGCTCACGTACAGTGCTACTCCTCCGCCGCCTCTGGTGCATCTAGCGATGCAGTAGAGGGTGTATCCTATGGTAGCCACCTCCGTGTCGGAAACATCGTCCGTGAGCCACGTTTCTGTCAGCGCCACGATCGTCGGTGCCTTGCGTGATACCAAGGACACTAGGTCGTCTCGCTTGTTCAGCGGTCCTCTTAAGTTGGCCAGAAGTATGTAGGCCTGCCGGCATTGATCAACTTTCACTGCAGGGCCCCTTGCTGAGACGCCCCCAGGGAAATCCAATTCAGCTGGAGCCTCCTCTTCAGAACCCGAAAATCCCGAATGTAGAGGTTACTCTCCTCACTAGCCCTGTGCTCTTGTAACTCATTTAGAGCTGCCTTCAGTTTTTCTCTGTCTTCCGGTTCCAGGTCTCGGTGTAGACGTAACGTCTCCCTTCAGTTTATGGGCTCTCTGGAGAATCGATTTTACCTCGACCTCTCAGCAGGCGTGGGTTTCCGTTTTGTTTCACCTTTCCCAGACGAAAGATGGCTCTTACCTTCAGCTTGTTGGTCAAATCTTGCTCCTCCGAGGAGAACAAGTTGTGAACATTTCGAGTAGCTTCGCCACATCATGATAGAGGCGCTCTTGTGCCACTGGTGTTGTGGCCTCCGGCATGTTGAGGGTCAGGAAACATTGCTTACGGGCGGGCAATAATTTTCTTTGCTTACCCGTGGCCTTCGTCCACCGACCCGCGTTCTCTTACCTGCCATTTTTGGTGTCCGCTCGTGCAACATCGATAGATTCTGGTGCAGCATGTGCTGGTTCGATGACTCCGAGATCGGCTCTCCCGGTTTGATCACTGTCTGTAACTGATTTTTGCTTTTTAGCCACTTTTCGCATGGAACCGCGTTTAATGGCTAGAGTAGATGATAGAGCTTTTGTTGATGAAGAGTTGGTCGGTTGATGGTGAATCCCTGTGACGTCCAACTCCGATAGCGATACTTCTGCACCACCTGAGATGTCCAGACGTGGTTGCACGCGGCAGTTATTGCACACAATTCTCACAAGCTTAGACTTGCACGACTCTACGAATTTGTATTCTTCTGGTGTGAGATCAGCGCATCTGATATGAATCCAACCATCGCACCCGTCACATTGCACGCTCTTGGTGCGTGGTCCGATAATGCGTTTGCAAACAACACATCTGTTTTTCTTAATGCTTGTACATATAATTCCAAAGTAATCCTCAAGAGATTATCCAATAATGAACAATAATTCCAAAGTGTCATTTTTATCAAATGAGCAACGATGGAGCTGGACACCCCTCCACTCCCACCAGGTGCGATCCAGTATGAATTGTGTTCTTTGATATCTTGAGGTAGTTGCATTGTCGTTCGGCCTACATAAATCGCATCACAGGTGCACTTGACTCGACGAACAACCGTGGACGAGGTCAAAATAGACAGTTTATCTTTGTTTTGGTATCGGATGTTTCGTGACGCAGATGTCACACAGCTGAGCGGCATTAAAGGTGGATTTCACTACAGCGGCTAAAACTCTACTGACCCTGTCAGCGGTGATATCTCTTTTGGATGGATTTTGTATAAAAAAGAATTACAAACTTTCAAAACTTCGTCCCAACCTAGAAGAAACGCAACCTAGTGCGTTGTTTCCTATAGGGAGCAGGCAGCATTTGTTCAGAAGATATTTTAAAGGACAAAATTGAACTACTGAGGAGAACCTTACTGGAAAATGGCTATCCTTAGAAGTTTATCGACCATAATTGGACTGAACTGAATAAACCAATTAAACTACCCCAAGTGGAGGAGTAAGTTCGTTTTATAGTATTTCCATTCAAAGGAGACGCCGCCGCCGACAGGGTCAGTAGAGTTTCATCGGTCGCAGTGAAGTCCTTCGGGACAGTGTGGGCGGTGATACCGTTTGAGCTTGTTTTCGGGAATAATATTTGTTTTACCTTATCCACAGAAAGCCAACAATGGATAGTTACTCCCTCGTTCGTTCTGGGAAGTTAAAGTTAAAAGGTGAAAAACATAAGAAAAAACACTCAAAGCGTCCTAACTCAAAGAAAACAAGACAAAACACAGATGAAAGACTGGAAGATGCCAATGCTCATGGTGGCTTTTGGGCAGTGAAAGACATTGCGGACGTGGCCGATGCAGTGGCTATCCAGCTGAACAGCTGGTCTATAAGGAGTGCAAATCAGGAGGCTGTTGCAGATTGTTCCGATACCGGGGAGTCGGAAACGAACATTGGAGCTGAGCGATCGCATGCTGCTGTCCGGTACTTATCTGCCACTGACGAAGGTTTAATTGTGGTTGGACCACCGCGCAGATTTCAGGAACCGCCCGCACCTGAAGAAATATTGACTGCTATCAAGGTATCTGATACAAAGATTGCCTTCAAGTCGGGGTACGTAAATGTTCCGTATAATGTTTCCCATGTTGATGATGTTACATATGAAACCTTCGAGTCATGTCTCCAACGGCCTTAAAAAATCTTTTATGATGATTTGAGATGTGATTGTGATTGAATCCAACTGACCTGCAATTTTACTCTATGGAAAGTACAGGATGTTGCACGAGTATGAGCAATACCGGTATACTGCTGAGTTTGTGAAGATGTTATGTGTGATGTCAGCCAGTAGAGCACACCGTTTTGACTGATATGTGATATGATTTAAGCAGACAAATTGCGAAGCGTTATACATATATAGGTATAAAAGAAGCTGAAGCAGAGTCCCCGTGGAACATTTCTGGGTTCGTATAGGCAACAGCATTTTTTTCCAAATAATAATCAAAAAGACCTGGTGAGTTTTTATAGCCGTAGTTTCCCTGATTCGTTCATACTCAGCAGACGGAATGGCTCAGAATGTAGCGGATACTCCCATTTCGTCAGTAATGGTTGACCTAGACGATGATGAGTTACAAAGTAACTAAAGAGGATAGAACAGCTTGTACCTACAACAAAAAAAAAACACTGAAACGGGGCCTTCGGTTAGATGATTGTGGTCCGTTATATGGTCGATTTGGAATTTTTAGCATTCATAATCAATGTTACAGNTTCTTTGTCTGGTTTCAGAAATTTTAAGTTTATCTTATTCTTGAGTTCGGTGATTGCCTTGCAGTGTTCTGGAGTGAGGCAGCAGTGTTGTCGAATCGGTGCCGTAAGGTAGGAATAACAAACATCCACCAGTTTTGCTCGGATCCCGGCGTTTTCGGCTGATGTAGGTGAAAGTTCTTTAGACTGATCATAAAAGTTTTCGAACTGAACACGAGTTTGCAGATCGTCTTGGTGGAATCTGGAAATTCATCCCCATGGATCGAACAACATCACATTATGATTATGGCAAAAGACTTACATCGCCAAAATGAACGAAATTCTTTCGAATGCTACAAAATTCCAAATCGACCATATAATGGACCACAATCATCTAACCGAAGGCCTTATTGCAAGAAAGTTACAGATTTGTTTCTTCGTGATTTCATTTCCGAAGCCTAGTACAAACAACTAAAGCCTATAGGAACAGAAACACCACAAATGAGGGGTTCTTCCAAAGTTCACAAACTTGAGACTCCGCTCAGACCAATTTTTGTGCATGCAAAACTCAACGTATCACAAGCTCGTCCGATGGCTGGTAGACATTCTTGATCCCATTCGTAAGTCCCTCATGCCTCACTGTGTGAAAGATTCTTTTGATTTCACTTTTTACTAATGTACCACTTTATGAA